TTTCTGGAGCCCAGAAACGATCATTTCTGGAGCCCAGAAATCGTTTCTGGAGCCCACAAACGATCATTTCTGGAGCCCAGAAACAATTTCTGGACCCCAGAAATTGACAATTTCTGATTTTTTTTTTTTTTAAGAAAAATAGATAGTAAGGGTATTTTGGTATTTTTAGGTGCCAAAATGGCTAAAAATGATGTTTTTCCCACAACATGGCTAAAATTTATGTTTTACATTTCTACTTGGCTAAAAAAAAAATTCACTGTAAATTAAATTCATGTGAAGCATCTTCTATAAAACGAAATTGACCAGTTAAATATCCATTATTAACGGCAAACGACTCAAATTACAACGATTTTTTACTTGTATATACCATAACTCCAAAAGCCTTTGTCGCACAACACTGACGTTTGATAAGTCTCAAGAATGAAATGAATATTCGAAGAATCGATATGATAAATGATATTTGAAAAATAATGCAATAAATCTCTTAATTCAAGTTGTTCGGAAAATGAAAAATCCACTTATGAGGATATTTATATTTAAGATCTCTTCGCTCTTTGCATATCGCGAACCCTAGCCCCAAATCCTCTCACTCGTACCTCGCCGAATCTCCGTCGTTGCGTGCCTTCCCCGGCGGGCAGCCGATCCCTTCGCTGGCGGATGGCCCATAGCTGCGCGGCATTGGACAGTGGCGGGAGTAGCGTTTCGGATTCCGAGTCAAGTTGTGAGATGGTTAATCCTTATTTCACTAGTGTCTTGTCCTGGGTTTGGTTAACCCGTTGGGGAAGGGCTTTGTTTGTTGGTAGATTAGGACCTTAGTTTGTTCTCTTTGTGTTCGTGCTTGTGTTGTTTAGGTTTGTGTTTTTGGTTTGGGCCATTTAGTCTCTATGAGTCCGAGAGTGAACTTATTATCCTATTGGGATCTGTTTTAGTAGTTTTTGTTTTTTGCTTGTGTTAATTGCTTTTGTGTAGTTGCGAGTTTGTTATTCTAGCGTTGCTAGCAGGCTCTAGGCGATCTTCGGATCTGCCTCCAGTTTTTTCAGCCTTTTGTTGTACTATTCAGTCTTTGGTTGTTTTCTCTTTGCACTTTGTGCAGTTTTTATTAATATAATATCTCTATCATTTTGGAAAAAAAAAAATATTTATATTTAGATGTGTAGCAACCTCTTTCAAGGGTCACGGGATGAAACAACATTTTTCCAAACGTGTTTGTCCAAAAACAGACGAAACCAATCAAGCAGACATTCATTGGTGCTCAACAAGTGTGACTAGGATTGTGCCCACGACATTGTTGCTCCCGAAAGAGCAGTAGAGTTCGTTGCGCGACCAAACACTGCACGAGCGCCCGACAAGCTCTCAAGTTTTGGCGAGCCCTCAGGGTGTGGTTGGATATGAATTTGATTGATTTTTTTACTGGTTTTTTTGTTAACCATAGTTAATTTTGAAAAAAAAAAAATTGTATGATTAGTTGTTAGTGGAAGTTTAAGTTTATATTAAAATAATATAAAATAATTAAATTTAATTTGATATAAAAATAGGAGAAAGATGATATGAGGTGATGATTAATAAAAATTATGTGAGTAGATAAATAGTGAAATAAAATTGATGTGATGTACAAAGATGATTGCTTGATATTATTTAGTTATATAGATAAAATTAAAGATATTGTGGTAGAGTTAAAGTTGAGTTAAATTTGAGTTTTGATTGTTTTTTTACTCGATGAATTTTTATCCAATCACACCCTCAGTGTTCCAGAACATGAACCTTGTGCCTCCTACCTCACGTAAGCCCGAGTACTTACTGGTGCGGCCATTCGAGTTCAATCGCTCCTGAAGTTTAGTTGGCTTTAAGCTACTTAAGCTCACTATTTTCTATAATTTAATTTATTTTTTTCACTTAGAATTAGTTTTCCATCCACCATAAAATGGTTTTGATAGTTTTTTAAAAATTTTCACTTATAAAAAATAAAACCATAAAATTGATACGAAATCAAATTTTATTATAGTAAACATATTAACTAATACATTACTAAAATCAAAGAATTATTAATAGACAAAAAAAACACGAGAATTTGTTCATGAGGGCCCGAAATTTTGGCGTGAAAAATAAACTGCTAAAGAGAATTTTAAAATCTCAAATTAACACACGAAAAACGCTAACTTGCAGAGTCACTTTCTACATTTGGCAATTGAAGGGATGCAGCCTTTGTGTTTTGTTATTCTCCATTAGTTGGAGTGTATAATTTTTGCGTGTGGAAGTTAGATTTGTTTTGTTTTTATTTTTTCGTGTTGGTTTATAGTTTCGGATTTAGGCTGCAAAGTACAGTTCTCCTAAATTCAGCCTTGTAATTGCTTTAATTCAGCTATCTTAACTATTTCCTAGTTTGTAAGTTTTTTTTCTTAGTTATAATACATTTATATCGCTTTGGAGAAAAAAGGTACCTACGGAATTTCACATTTTATTAGGACTTTATAGTCTTTTAAAATTCTAAAAATTCATGTAACATTTATCACATGAGAAATTAAAAATATATATAGTAAAAGCATATGGTCATGTGTCTCTTATAAAGTGATTTGACAAGTCATATTGGTATTTAAATAATGTGGACATGCTATAATTGCGTTCATTTTCAAGGTGTACTATGGCACCAAAAATTTATGCTAAACTACTATTGCTTTTGCCCCATTGATGTTTGCAATCCAAGGAAAAAGTAATGTATAAATATATTAAGAGGTATAATAGAATTTTATTTTTTCACAATATTTTCCTTTCAATTGGGTAGCTATTTTTAGCAGTTAGATTTTTTTATTTTTTTTAGCATTTTTTTCACACAAACTTCGAACTCATAACTATTGACAGCATAATTTATGCATTAATTTAACATGTGATCAAAGATGAAGAATCATCCAATAAAGAGGCAATACCTACTCAGGGCACAAACAAAAAGTTGATTAAAAGAGATGCGGTGGTGTGGTGCAGTACATTTAAAAAAGCGTTGGCACAAATTCATATTTTCTTCGTATATTAATATTCGATCATGTACATATGTACAAATGTAAATAAAAATTTAATATGTTATATGTGTGTGTATATAATAGTTAAAATCACAAGTTAGATAATAAAAATATCTCATTTTATATATTTTAACATTAGTAAAAATTAATGATATAAATATAAATTATTTGACTTACATATTAATCTTTTATATTGATCGCAATAATATAACTTTTGCAATCTTGGTTGATTATAACCAATTAATTTGATAAAATAATATTAAAATTATTATTATAGCAATTATGTACGAACACTTCTATTTAAATATGTTTGCCCGGCCAACATTTTCCTAAAATCCCATCCTCACGAATCTTTCGACCTGCACACCAGAAACGAAAAAAAAATGGAGAAAATCGAGAAACAAACGATAAACACAGAAAAACTCTAAATAAAGGAAAACATGAAACAAAACACAAAACGAACTAAAAAAAAAAGAAAAGACCTAGAACGGGAAAAAAGAAAGGAAAAATAACAATGAAAAATGCAACAAAAATGAGACAAATAGTTATCTTTTAAAGATCTTCGATTCAACATCCATATAGCATATATAAAATAAAAGTATTGATATCTATCCTTATAGATAAAGTTATTTAAATTTATTTATTAAATGAAATTAAAAATATCAAATAAAACAAAAAAAAGACATATTTGTTATTAACATACCAAAAAATAGTTATTTATCTAAAAAAAATATATATAAACTAAGTATGAATATAAAATAAATATAAACAATATTCTAAATTTTTTTTGTCTGAACATAATAAAGGCCTTGCTTGGCTATTAGTTGTTAGCAATAGTAGATAAACGATTGTTTTTAACGGATATCTGACAGCAAATTGGAATAGCTTATCTGACTAGCGGATTATATAGCTATTTTGAATATTTTATGTTGACATATTATTCTGTGAATCATCTCTTCTCAAAACACTCATATATTGAGCTTTTTTCAGAATTAACGTCTTATGCTAAAAATACTAATCAAATAAACTCCTTTCCAAACAAGTTAATTCGAGGATTGGATGGGTCAAAGCTCTAAATGAGGTTCAATCCTCTAAATGTACACCAAAATGGTCAACATCCAAGTAGGGCCAAAAAGACTACATAGAGATTGAACGCCATAATGATATTGAAAAAAAAATCTAAAGAAATATTATAATTAAAATAATAAAATAATTATTATATTTTACAAAGTTTTAAAATATTCCATTGATGCACATTATATTTTAAATTATTGAATATTATAAAGTTGAAGATATTTAACTCTCGATAGTATGAATCTTCCTTCGCCATGAGACAGGCGGCCTCAGTGCTCGGGACAATCAGGTAGCATATCATGTAAAAAGGCTATAAATCTTATTTACGAAGAGTGGATCTTTGAGTTGTAAACGGCAGTTCCATAGTTCATGTGTGTAGTCAACATCCGTAGTTTGCTCCTTCTGACGTTTCATTTCGTACCGTCAGGGGTAGGGCTGCAAACGAGTCGAGCAACTCGCGAGCCGCTCACGAGCGCTCGAGCCAAAGCTCAACTCGAGCACGAACTCGAGTCGAGCTCGAGCCCATATTTTGTATTGTCGAGCGACTCGCGAGCAGCTCGAGATATATGAAATTACTAAAATACCCCTTGTGTATATATGTATTTAATGGTTATTTTACAAAATTTCTTGAAAAAATTTGAACCGAACTCGAGCCGAGCTCGAGCATTGTGAATTCATGTCGAGTTCGAGCCGAGCTCGAGCTCTTGTATTTTTTTATCGAGTCGAGCTCGAGCCTAAAAAATCGAGCTTGACGAGCTCGAGCACGCGCTCGAACAGCTTAAAAAAAAAAATCAATCCTGCTCGATAAGGCCAATGTTCGACTCGGCTCGACTCGTTTGCAGCTCTAGTCAGGGGGGTTTCAGCTCAACTAGTAAATGCCTTTCGGAACTCTATTACCTTCTCCTATGACTTGAGCTAAAGATCGTAGTTCTCGAACGAGCAATCGAAATGATTCGGGAGCATCCTCGGGCTTATTGTTCCTCCAAAGATCGTAGTACCAACTACTTTTTGGCGCGTTCTAATATGATCCGATTTAGTTGTAAGCATCTCTTGTAAAATATGAGCAAGACCAAATCCTTCTAGGGCCCAAACCTCCATTTCTCCTACTCGTTGTCCTTCCGGGTTTGCCCTTCCCTTAAGGGGTTGTTGTGTTACTCGCGCATAAGGTCCATTGGAACAATGTGAGAAGAAAACTATTATAAACATAAAATATATTTACAATATAATCAAACTTTAAAAAAAATTAAATTAATTTAAAATCAAGTTATTAAATTGTAGATAATATTATATATATATATATACACACACAAATGTGTGTGATTAAAAAATATCATTGCACAAATCAAGTATAAAATATGGGCATCATTTTAATTATTTAACTTTATTAATTCTTTTATTTATTAGTTGTATATTTACTTTTTATAATTTTATTATAAGAATATAATTTTTTTCACTTATTTCTTTTGATACAATTTTTTTCATGGGATATGCATTATTCACGGGCGTTATATTAACAATCAAATAAATTAATATTCTATTTAACTTCGACAAAAATAAATATATCTTAGATAAAGCAAATAATATTTCATATAAAATGTTTTTTAGGATTCGAAATGTTATTACAAGTTCTTTTACTCTCGTATTAATTATTTATAAATTTTTATTTCACAATTAGAATATAAAATTTTATTTTAATTGCACAAATATTTTTTATTGAACATTCTTATAGTTTACAGACGTTGTATTAGTTTTACATCAATCCTCTAATATCAAAAGAATCCATTTAAAACATGATATAATATACTACACCATAAGTTCATTAGAAGGGATGATCAATATTGGTAAAATCAAATCAATGTTAATATTAAATCATTTGACAAAACAAATGTCAAATATCCCCAATATCGTGTGTATTTTAAAGTGTTGGTCAAATTTGAAAGAAAATATATTGGACATTGAAAAGAAAAAATGAAAAACCCACTCCCCACACAACATTTGAATTACACTTCTGCCCCAACACATATGGTCAATTCCTCATATGCCCCCTCTGAATATTTTAACACACGAGTGAATTACTACACACATGCACAGTTCCGAAGAAGATTTATGCTGACAAGAATTTTCACGGTCACCTAATTCTGCTGTTACAAAATTTAAAATAAAAAAAAAAACTCATCAAAAGGAGATAATTCTGTCTTTTATTGACTTTCACCACCACCATATTTCTTTATTTCCACATATATAAAGAAAAATCCGACACTCGCCCAGCAGCATAATTTCATTTTTTTTCCTTATAATTTTTGTTTACTCCCTTTTTTCATCCTTCTTTTCCTTTACCTTTCCCTTGAAGAGTCGAGATTTTCTTCGATTTGTTGATCTGCCCTTTTCCTTTTTTTCAACCAGTTTGCTGATCGCAAATCTTGAAATTATCTGGGATGATCGAAGAGTTGCTTTTGGCTAAATATCTCCCGAGGAAAATTCAAGAATTGATTTTTCATGAGTTGGGCTGCTTCGAAAAGCTGAGAAAACGCCGTATAATTTGATTCTTTTTTGTTTTTGTTTTTGCATGAATTTTTTTTTGAAATTGTGAAGAGGGCTTTCATTTGGAGGGTATAAAGTGTCCTGGGCTGATATGGGTGGGTGTTTTCCTTGCTTTGGATCATCAAAGAAGGCAGTGAATGGTAGTAACAGTAGTAATGGAGTGAAAGAAGTAGCAAAAAAGGCGTCTTTTAAAGAGAATTCTTCTGTTCACTCCAGTAGCCATGTGAAGAGAGTGAATTCAGGTACACAATTTGTTTATTTTATTTCAGTTTTATGCATAACTTAGCATGATTCTGTGGATGGGCGAGTGAGAGTGAAATGTCTTGAATTTGAATTGTTATTCTTGGTTAATTTTCCTATTGTTGAGGCATGAGAGGGAGATCTAATCGTTTTCTTAATATGTGTTTGATTAAGTTCCATAATATTTTTAGGTTTGGATAGTTCTTGAATTGTTGACATGAAATGGGTTGTTAGTCAGTTTGCTTGTTATTTGTTGGAGAATTTTAGTATTCATGCTGAAGGAATCAGATTGATTTCAGTACTTATAGTTGTCCAAAAGATGTGAGTGCTTGAGAATTTAGTATTCATACCTTCAGCATTGCAGATTTTCGGACGTAATTGCCCCAGAAAATGGAACTAATTTATGAAGTTGTTAAGAGGGATCAAGGATGGTTACTTAAATGAGAATGCACCACCATTGGGCAAAATTAAGATAATCACAAGAACAATCCTGTGCTTTAACCTAATGGGAAAAAAAAAAAAAAATCCTTTTGTCTTCCAAATTTAGATATTACCCCTTGGAAGTGCTTTAAACAGCCCGTAAGATTTGTATTTACTCAACCAATACCGTCTCTTAAGTCTTGGTGGTGTATTTATAAAAGAGTAATGCATGTCAAGAGGTATTTGTACTTGTAATCAGCTAATCCTCTAGGGTTTTATCCATTATAATTAGCGTTTTTTTTTTGTTAACATCTTTTGGCCATTGCATTAAACATTTTACTCTTTCACAACTTCTTTCTACTCTGCTAATGAAATTGCCTTATGATCCCTAGATAAATCAAAAGGCCAGAAAAGTACTGATACCAAGAAAGAATTACTGCTACCAAAAGAGCCAACAGCTAATATTGCTGCACAAACATTTACCTTTCGTGAGCTTGCTGCAGCTACAAATAACTTTAGGCCCGAGTGCTTGCTTGGTGAAGGTGGGTTTGGGAGAGTTTACAAAGGCCGTCTTGAAAGCACGGGGCAGGTAGCGTTAACAACACAAATAACTGTTGATTTTACTATGTCAACATCTTTCTCCACATGTTTGGTTGTTTTAATGTGAATGAAAATCAGCTGTTTCAATGCTGTATTCTCACTTTAGAGTTGGAGAAAATAGTTGCATGGTTGTTAGTTACTATGGTTATTACTTATTAGGAAATAACCACAACACCACCTTGAGGTTTGGCCTAATCGCAAAGAAATCAAGTTGCCTTTGCAATAAAATTTCCCTTTGGTTAATTCTCTTTGATGAGTGGCACTGGTTGTATGGGTTAATTGTAAAAAAGATAAAACCTTCAATGAGAATGTTGTAATCTTAGAAGATAACTGGTCTTTTTCATTTTTTGTTATTATTATTATTATTATTATTATTGCAAACATCCATGGTTTTTATGCTCAATCAATGTTGGAGAGTGGTCCTTTTGTAGGTTGTGGCAGTTAAGCAACTTGATCGAAATGGACTTCAAGGGAATAGGGAATTTCTGGTAGAGGTTCTCATGCTTAGCCTGTTACACCATCCGAATCTTGTCAACTTGATTGGATATTGTGCTGATGGAGACCAACGACTTCTAGTTTATGAGTACATGCCATTGGGATCTCTAGAAGATCATTTGCATGGTTAGTCTTTAGTTAAAATATTCATCTATGTTTTTTTTTTTAAGTATTCATCTATGTTTACTTATTCAGAATCCGTGTTTTCTAGTTGGAATGTTGTTTTCCCTGTAAAAATAAGTAGTAAATAGTTTATGTTAGCAATAGTATCTGCTGTCGAGAACTTCTACAGGTTATTAATATTTTTTTATTTGGCTTTATATTCTTCCTTAATGACCTTGCGATTTAGTTTGCACACACCAAACAGAGAACAGCAATATACTTTTAAATTTATAATTTAGGTAAAGATAACCGTGTATGTATAGCATCTGTCTTTTCTTTTACTTTTCTCTATCTGTTGCTGGTTATATATGGCTATATGCTTATTTCCTAGCAAAATTTGTATTCAACTATCATGTACACTTTGTTAATGAGTTTCTATATCTATAGGTGATTAATCTAAATAGTTTTATGAATGACCACAATGAACTTTAGTCATGTTCATAGAAGGATTGAATATTTTTTCTATCTTAGAGTTATTATACTTTGTCCTCTAGATTTTCTGCATTTCAGTTTTAGTCGCCTGGTTTGGCATTTATTACATTTATACAATAATTGCATCTTAAAACAGATGTGACAGTCATCTTAGTAAGTGGAGGTATTTTGGCTCTCTCATTTGCCTCTTGCACACCTTGTGTTATTGACAAACTACTCTGTAAAAGATTAATAAGTTGCTTCAACAAAGTTAAAAAATTATAACCACATTCGACAATAGCGTTTAGGTAATTTTGGCATCACAATCCGTTGCTTTCAGTAATGACTAGTAAACTGGATTTTGATAATGGGATAATGAGACCATTAATGCCATAGAGGTTCAGCATGAGAGAGAGAGAGAGAGAGTTTCACAAGTGGCATCCGGTTTGGTATCAATTTGTAAAGGTGCACAAACTTCAAGGGGGTTCGCTTTATTTCAAAGATGACTGGAATTTGCTTTCTTTTTTTAATTTAATCATGCTAGTTTTTGTAAACTCATAGTGTTTAAAATTACATTCTCTGTGATGTTATGTGCAGATCTGCCACCCGATAAAGAGCCTCTCGACTGGAACACTCGTATGAAAATTGCGGCTGGGGCTGCTAAGGGCTTAGAGTACCTCCACGATAAAGCCAACCCACCCGTCATATACAGAGACCTGAAATCTTCCAACATTCTTCTTGATGAGGGCTATTTCCCCAAGCTTTCGGATTTCGGGCTTGCAAAGCTTGGGCCCGTGGGCGACAAGACCCACGTTTCGACCCGGGTTATGGGGACTTACGGCTACTGTGCTCCCGAGTATGCCATGACTGGCCAGCTCACCATGAAATCGGACGTCTATAGCTTTGGGGTCGTTTTTCTTGAGCTGATCACTGGCCGGAGAGCAATCGACAACATGCGGAGTGCGGGAGAGCATAATCTCGTTGCATGGGTAAGAAAAATAAAAAAGAAAATAAAAAAAAAAAGGTTTCTTTTTCTAGGCTACAATTTTCTTTTATATTGAACAGTTGCATCCCCCATACTTGCCTAAATACTACGGCTATGTTTGGTAGACAAATAAGCTAGCTTATAGCTTATTTAGTTAGTTTATAAGCTTCCTGTATTTAAATAAGCTTCGTCTGGTAGGACGAGCTTTTTTAAAAAACTCGAGCTTATCTCATAAGCTTTTTTGGGTAGCTTTTCAGATAAGCTCGTTGAAATTTTTTATTTCAGCTAGCTTATCAACTAATTTTACCAAAAAAATTTTTCACATAAGCTAGTTTTTCAGCTATAAGTCATAAGCTATAAACTACAAGCTCGAAAATTACTGATAAGCTATAAGCTGCTTATCAGCTATCAACTAGCTTTACCAAACATAGCCTACAAATAGCCATACAAAAAGGTGGAGCCATTCTCTGTTTAGGAATTTTGAAGGGTGTATTTGTAAAAAAAAATGTTTGCAGTAGCAAATTTGTATTGTCAACCAACGGTAGGCCCGTTTTCGTAAATCAAAGCAAGTTGTGTTTCTTCGTATGTATTCCGAATCTCGGTGTGGTTTTAAGAATATATCTCCCTTCTGATTTTATAAAAAAAATTGTAAAGTAACTATCAGTGAAAACCATACCATATGGGGTGAGTGACAGTAATTTTTCGATTAGATCACTTTTAACCTTTAACTTTTTTGCTCGAAAAATCTCGCGAAAACTCCAGGCGAGGCCCCTCTTCAAGGACCGTAGGAAATTCCCGAAAATGGCGGACCCTCTACTGCAGGGCCGTTACCCGATGCGCGGGCTCTACCAAGCCCTTGCTGTGGCCGCCATGTGTCTCCAGGAGCAGGCCGCCACACGGCCACTCATCGGTGACGTGGTCACGGCCCTATCCTACCTGGCGTCCCAAACCTACAGGCACCAGCGCAGGGACACGTCAGACGGCGGGCCCCATCTCGGGTCCCCTTCTTCATCTGTCCAGAAAAACTCTCCTGAAGACTCCTCCAGGAGGATGATAGAAGAGACTGTGGGCCGGGCTCACTCACAGGTGGGCAGCCCGGGGAGCGCGGGCCGGGCCCATGAGATGCCTAAGAATCCTGAGAGAGAACGCGCGGTGGCACTGGCTAAGGTGTGGGGTGAGAATTTCAGGGAGAAGAGGAAGAGTGATGCCGGGAGCTTCGACAGCACCAACGAGTGAAGAGTAAAGAGAGAAAAAAACGAGGTGCGTGAAAGTCGGGGTTTTTTGGAGGTTAGTCTGTAAGAGGAATTCTTATGTCATGCTTATAAGCATATTATATGTGCAGCATTTTTAAAAACGAACAGCCATGTATGGTTAATCTTGTTTTTTTGACGGGAGAATTATATGCTGTTTTTGGGGTTCAAATGTTGGAAGTGCTTTGGGTTTGGTTTGGTTTGGGCATCATGGCTTCTCAAGAGTGTCTTTGGTTTTATCTCTTACGTCACTATGTTGGCCTAAATTTTGAATGAATCTTTGAAGTCCCAAAACAATGGACACCAATCGAACCTGAAATTTGGCTTTGAAGATTTTACACAGAATTTAGTCAATTTGTGATGCTGTATTACATACAACGAAGGTTTGTCGAAATTCATCATCATTTAATTTTATTGCACTAAGATTTTTAGGGAATATTGATTAGATAAGAGCATCTGCAATGCTGTGGGTCTAGATTTGTCTATGTGAAATGTAGTTTTGTCTATGTGAAGTGTAAGTGAACTTAAGTCTTGGATGACATGAACATAAATTATAAAATTAACAAAATTTATTCAAATGCAAGGAGATTAGTTTTATTTTTCTTGTTGTCACATATGCAAAACTCAATCCTCTTGCACTTGCATTAGAGAACATATTTTTTTAGACTGAGTCTATTTTCGAAGTAGCATACAAATTTTTGTGACTGAGCCCAAAGCATTGTGGATGTTCTAAACGTAACTATGTTTTTTTTTCTTTTTCTTTTTTTTTTCATATTTGTGTTACTTTTAACTAAATTTTTATCTACTTGTTTTTAATGTTACCATTTAATTTAATGATATCGAACTCAGTAAAAATTTAAGAAAGACTAGTAAAGACTAGTAATCAATCATGTGAATATGCACAGATGCAACTAAAATATTATAAGTCATATGTGTGGGTATTATATTTAAAATTATAAATTAGATAATGAGTTTATCACATTTTATAAATTTGATCATTATTAAAAACTAGTTTTTGTCCCGTGCATTTGCACGGAAAACTATATGATACATGAAAAAATAATAAAAATTATAAACAATAGTAAAAATCATAAAAAAATTATTGAAAAATTTAAAAAAAAAATATAAATATTCTTAAACACTTCTTTATAAAACAACGTCGTGGTTTTTCTATCGTGAAAATCTCCCTCAGCTCAAATCAAAATCTTCAAACCCCACTGACTCGTAACTCTAACGTGCGACAGAGACTGTCTTTGACTCTTATTGATCATGTCATAGCATAGGAAACACTTCTTTATATTGTTTGTCCTGGACTCTTATTGATTGATAGAGATTGTCCTTACTTCTTAATAAAAATATACCATCTAAATATAAATAAGTAAATATAATATTAATTTTTATATAAACAAAAAATTAAAGATTTGTAATAGATCTGTAAATATATGTATTTTTTAGAGTTTTTTTTTTTTAAAAAAAAAACTCGTATCATGAGCTTTCCATTAGGGTTAGCTTCCAATGGACTGGAACCGCCCGCATCGTGATTTTAAGAGGCCGATTAAGGCCCTTTTGTTATATTTAATCACAGTCAGAAATTTTTATGTATGTTTAATTTTTTTTTCGTGAATTCAAGTTATTTCAACGATGTTCTTTTTATATATCTAAGATTTTTATTTTCTGATTTATATGAATATAAGCACATTTAACTAATTTTTATAAAATTTATTGAAAAAAGTTACTATTTTTTTGAAAAACTGATAAGATATTACGATAATACTGTACTTAACATAAATGTGGGATTAATTAAAATAAATCTTTTTAATTTAGTCATTAACTAATTAAATTTAACTATAAGAAACTTTCTTAAATGTGAGATTAATGAATAATTAATTAAAAAAATGTAACTCCTTTTGGAGGGAAAGTGAAAATATTTTTATTAAATGTTTTATTAAATGAAATTAGCTAGCAATTATATATATATAGATTTTGTAAATTTGATCATTATTAAATTAAATTTGATAATGAGTTTATATCTCCTCCTCCTCCTCCTTTAGTACACATTTTTGTGTGAATTTATAACTATTTAATATTAGTAATAATTATTATAAGATATAATAGTTAAAAAAAAATATGCAACAGTTACTTTTCAGAGTTAGATAAAAAAAAATGAGGGGGAAAATTTGATGATAACATTTAATGAATTGCCACAATCCATTTTTTGAGTGAAATTTTTAGTTCATATTAAAATAATGTTTAAAATGAAAATGATAAAATTAATTTGATGTAAAATTTGGAGAGAAAATATTGAAAGTGATGTGTAGTTAAAATTATGAGAGTGAATGGACATTGAATTGAAATCGATGTGATGTGTGAGGGTGATTGATTGATATTATATAATTATATTGATAATATTGAAAATAGTGAGATTGAGTTAAATTTGAGTTAACCGATTGAGTCAACAAAAGCAACTAGTGAAAAATGTGAAAAATTATTGATTTTTTGATTGGGTTATTTATATCCAATCACTCTTTTCTTTGATTGCCTTTTGTAACTTGGGCCTGTTGAAAAGTTTTGGCCTATTGGGCTAACAAAGCACTAGAATCCAGTTTCCAAGTCCATGCCTACCCGCAATCCTACTAAACTTGATTGTTTATGAAATAATTTGTTCAAAATGAGTTATTTTGATTAATCTATCTATACTTATATTAAAGGGAGTCCTATTTACCAAATTAAGTAGCCAGAAAAGTCAACAGCATTTATTGCATTACTATTTCCGTATTATACAATCTATACTTATATAAAAAGAGATTCTATTTACTATATGTACTATCCAGAAAAGTCAACTGCATTAAATGCCATTACTATTTTGGTATTATAATATCTTATTTATTTAATTGATTTATTTATTTGTTTTATTTTAAAAAGGTAAGTATAATAAAAAGATTTTAATAATAAAAAAATCAAATACCAAATAAAAATGTACACTTTGACTTATTTGATTATACCAAATATATTCCTATTTAGTATATAAATTAAATACTTACTAAAGTATTTATTTGTTTTATTTGTCAAAGTTAAGTATAGATTTGTTTATATTATCAAATCATAAAAAAAATATTTAATCCATATTGTAAAAAAAAAAATCATATAATTTTATAACAATTCTACTACACTATTTAACAATATTTCTTTTTATTATATAATAAATAATAATTAAATATTATATGGTGAACAACAATAAGTAAAACTGTTACTTTCTCTTATATCAAGGGATAAATTTATATGCTAAAATTAAATTTTTATTAGTATAAATGTTTTAGTGAGATAATATATTAATTATTTTACAAGCTAGCCCTAACATGCTCATATTTAATGTTTTAAAAGATGTAGAAAAAAACTTATAATAACTTTATTATTTTTTAGACTTAAACGTTGATTAAAAGAGGTAAAAATTCCTAATTTTTTAAACTTAAACATTGATTAGCACCATAGATCGAGAGTTTATATTTAGTAAAATTCCTAATTGTAATAAAAAAAATTAATTTTTGCTATATTTTAGAATATCTTTAAATTCATTATAAAAAAAAANTTCAGAATAATAATTTCAGACAACTATGATTTTTTTTTTTTTATGTAGATTGACCAAATTAAGTACATCTATATATATATAAAGAGGTTGTTGGAAAAATACATTAATAGAAAGTTTGACCAAATAAATATAATGTTTGACTTACTATTAATGGAAAGTTCGAAAAAACACATGTAAATCTTTAGAAACAAAATCTGAATCCTATTTTTTTCGGTAACAAATTTGGAGATTCTTATGGCAAAATTTAAATCCCATTTTTTTAGTATCATATTTTATTTTTTTTACCAAAATTTAAATCATATCTTTTTTTGTAACAAATTTAGAGATTCTTATGCAAAATATGTGTTAATTATTTATGAAACAATTCTAAATCTATCTATATATAAAAAGGTTGTTGTTAAAATACATTTTTAGAAACTTTTGACCAAAAAAAACCTTTGACATTCTAAATATAGAAACCATATTTAAAGCATTTATAATAATATACAAAATTTAAAAAAAGTCATACTTGAATTCAAAAATTAATTGATTAAAGATATTATTGGCATATGTGGATAAGTCACCTTAAAGAGATAATTTAGAAACCACAAATTTAAAAAAAAGTCATACTTGAATTCAAAAATTAATTGATTAGAGATATTATTGGAATATGTGGATAGGTCACCTTAAAGAGATAAGTCACCTTAAAGAGATAAGTCTCTATGGAATATATATCAGAATTGGATCCATAATTACCATTACATAATTATGCGAATCTTGAGTTCAAAAACGGTTGTTTGGTATAAATTAATATGCACTACCACTATTATCTGTTCACCTCATTCACAGAGTTCAAAGAAAAAAAAAAAGATAAATTTCAGAACACATCGATAATATAATGCCGCCAGTCTGGGATACACTCGATTCCGTGAGTAGGAGAAACAAACCTTTTTTGCACTTGACAGCAGTCCTAATAGTTGAAACGCATCACCAACGGGAGAGCTGGAACGCATTCCATATACTGTTTCATGATGAAAAGGTAAATATTTTTATTTGTAATATCAAATTTATATAATTTAAAAAAAAAAAATTGATTCACAAAAAAGAGACAAATTTCAGAACACATCAATAATATAATGCCGCCAGTCTGGGATACACTCGATTCCATGAGTAGGAGAAACAAACCTTTTTTGCACTTGAGAGCAGTCCTAATAGTGGAAACGCATCACCAACGGGAGAGCAGGAACGCATTCCATATACTGTTTCATGATGAAAAGGTAAATATTTTTATTTGTAATATCAAATTTATATAATTTTAAAAAATATTTTAATTCACATTTATAAATTTATATGGTAGAGTACATTTATTAAAGGCATAATACGTTCTATACATATGAGAGCATTTCGAGGTGTACTGAACGAAGGCGAGATGTATGCAATCAGCAACTATGTCGTTGAATTTAATCATGGGAAGAAAGATATCATAACCAACATATGGAAACTTGTGCTTCATGGAAGAACTCATGTTATCAAATATGATGAGATTTTCCCTCAAGATGGTGATATTTTTCCTCAACATTAGCAAGGAGTAAGGATATTTATGATATTTAGAGTTTGATTATTATGAATTTTAATTTCATTCCATGTCGTTGAATTCCGAATTCTATAATAAATTTTAGTGTTATTATATTTGTTATCGTTATAAAATGTCGTTGAATAATTTTTTTTTTTTTATTAAATGTCGCACGAGATATTTATGATATTTAGAGTTTGATTATTATGAATTTTAATTTCATTCCATGTCGTTGAATTCCGAATTCTATAATAAATTTTAGTGTTATTATATTTGTCATTGTTATAAAATGTCGTTGAATATTTTTCTTTTCTTTTTTATTAAATGTTGCACGAATGTGAAAATTTGAACATTTTATTTTTTACTTCTAATGTATATTAATTTAAAATTGGTAGAATGCCATGATATAAGATATAAATTAATACAAATTTTAACAAATATTTCAAATATAAGATTATATAAATAAAAATTTACGGAATTAACAATAACTGAATCAAGTACATTTAATGGATTATATTGCATGATTTTTCAATAATTTATGATAATGGATTATATTATAAATATTTGTTTGATTAAAATATTTATATTAATTTGTATTATATAATAATAGATGCTGATCTTAATGATAAAAGGTTAAATATAATCTCGCCGTGGTAGTTTTTTATTGACGAAAAATCATAGTCTCAAATCAAAATTAATTGTAGAGATAATACAATCAATGGTGTAGAGATAATATTGGATTGGATAACTCATTAATGAAAATCGCTCATTATTGGTATTAATATCTCAAATAACATTTTAATTACTTATTAATGGTTCAATCCATATTTATTTCTTTTTATGTCAAAATTTTAATAATAATAATTTATATATTAATCTGTTTTTAATCGCATGATATGTATTAGTATAGATATATACGGTGAGTATGATGCTATCACAACGAAAAATCTCCACTTCTTAACTATTTTGCACTTATCTTATCATCATACAAGACAAAGTTGAAAATTGCAATTTGATTTCAAAATTGGTTGAAGTTTTTATTGACCGAAAATCATTCTTTGAATTCCATGTGAAATGAAAATTGCGAAAATCACTCTTTGAATCTATATCTATACCTATATATATAAAAAAAAGTTGTTGGAAAAATACTTAAATAGAATGTTTGACTTACTAATTTAGGAAAATTTGTTAAAATACACGTGCAATTTGAGTTAAAAAACTGAGATTTTAAAAGCAATATTCTAATCATTTTTAACAAAAAAAACCGAGAGGATGATGTTAAATTGTGGATGAGGATAATGTCAATTGATTCTTTCCGAATTGAAAGGTCACATGTGAAATATATATATCAAGGATATCTAATTTATTAGTTACTTAGGGAGCATGATTGTAGAAGATCAAAATATATCAATGTAAATGTAATATCAAGCCATATAAAACAAGTTTCGTTATAAGTAATTTAAACATTCTTGGTAAGTTTTAAATGATTATATATAATAAACCCTTTTTTTTATATATTAATAGATACTATATATGTACTTATATATCTATATTTATATCTATATATATCTATATCTATATCTATATATATTGAAAGAGGTTGATGAAAAAATCATTAAACTTGATAAAAAATTTGAGTCAAAACCTTTGACTTACTTCTTTTGGAAATTCAAATTACTACTATAAAATAACAATAAGGATTTACTTTAAGTTGAAAAAAAGTTCCCGCCTAAAATTATAGATTTTACTACAATTGATAACTTTTTTAAATTCTTTGAAAAATTGAGAGTTGATTTGTAATTTGAATTTTAGCGCCGACGTTGGAGGTGGTCGAGTCTATCAATGAGTACATGACATCATTGAATTTGTTGGATGGGCGTATGTACTTGAGCTCTGACAGTACATGCAAATCAAATTCTAATAATGATTTTTTTGTCTACTCTCCATACGCCTGAGTTTTTTAACAGTATCAAGTGTTCCGGAATACCGAACCATGAGTTGTATTTGAAGATTAGAATTCCAGACATGTTGTTGCGGAACATGGATCATTCTATGGATTTGTGTAATGGGACACGACTGGTTGTGACAAAGCTATCCACTCATGTTCTTGAGTGTAAGATACTCACAGGAGACCATGCTGGTGATAAGGTGTTGATTCCAAGATAACTCCTTCTGATGTTAGAATTCCTTTCAAGTTCCAGCGACGACAGTTTTCCATTATGGTTTCTTACGCCATGACTATAAACAAAAGCCAGAGACAATCCTTATCTCATATTGGCTTATTTCTTAAGAAACCAATGTTCAATCATGACCAGTTATATGTTGTTGTCTTACGTGTCACTAACCAAAAATATTTGAAAATCTTAATTTGTGGCGAAGATGACATGCCTAAGAATCAAACCAATAATGTTGTATATAGGGAAGTGTTCAATAATATATGATCTTTTCAGTTTAATTATATGTTTATATGTCTATTCTTATGATCATGATCATTGCATTATTACACAATTTATATACAAAAGTGCTTTCTAAAAAGCGTATAGATAATAATTTCCCCGTGCATCGCACGGGTGATTACTAGTTAATAGAATTTTAAGAATGAATTAAAATAATATTTAAAATAAATGATTAAAATTGATTTGACGTATAAATAGGAGATAAATGATTGGAAAAAATTGAAAATGATAGATAATTAAAATTATGTGAATGGATGAATAGTGAATTAAAGTTGATATGATGTGTAAGAATGATTAATTTGTATTATTTAAATATATAAATAATATAAAAGATAGTAAGATTGAATTAAAGTTGAATTAAATTTTGAGTATGAAATAAAGTGAAGTAAATCTTACAGAAATCTTAACATTTCCATTTCATTTCACACTGTAGATAACTGGATTATACTAAACCGTAGAGGGAAAAAAAAAAAATCCTTGGCTTTGTTTGTCAAACAAAACTGTGAAGTTTGGAACCCGTAGCCATTTTCAAGTCTCTCTCTCTCAGACTGAAAATCAGACTGAAAATGCAAGCTATTGAAGGAATAACGAAATCGCACCGATTGGCTAGGGTTTTAAAGAATGCGTCGGCCGGCGTATTCAACTCCGCCGGACGAGTTACAGCTTCCCGGCTGGAGGATATGAGTAATGAAAATTCCCGTGAGCTCATCAGTCATCAGTCTCCGCGCCGCCACTTTTATTCCGTCGCTTTGTTTTCGGGTAATTTGTATTTTGTTCTATTGTTTCCTCATATCTATACGCTTAAGAAGTGAAAAAAAAATATGCGAGTTAAGAACAATTGTTACTTATTTAGTTTGACATTGAGTGTCATTAAGATGTATATTATTATTTTTTTTTGGGTGATGGAAGCATATGGTTTGAATTTAGCTGAGCTGAGTGCGTGAAAAACTTCAGTGTTGTAGTTGTATTTGATCTACTAAGATATGGTGGCGAAATGTGTTTATGCTCAGATACTTATAGTTTTGTACAATTAGGAATGTGCTTGGTTTTTTAATGTGTGTAGTTGATTCGTGTATTTGGTATTGGAATCTTCTTGTTTATTCAACTTGAATGATGTAATATTCTGGCATTGTGTTTGGTACAATAGGTGTGTGTGAGCTAGTCTTGTGATTTTTAAGTATGTTGTACCCAATAGTTAACTGCAATGTTAAACACCTAACGGCGTAAAAAGAGAAGGAATTTAGTAAGCATGAATGTTTTGAGATGAGTGTGTTTACCTATGCCTGAACTATGCACATTGGGTTTTCTTAAAGCATATTATGCATGCCATATTGTTTTATGTGAATGTGAATTTACAGGCAATACCTGTGGAGCTTCAAGAACTGAATTTTATTGCCGACAAGTTGCACCGTCATCAATGATGATGCCGAATAGATTCTTTTCTTCTGAAGCAAGGGCTACCGAGAATGATTCTGCTGGTATATATTTTTCGTCATTCTGTGGTTTAAGACACTTGAAAGTTGAAATGTATTCCATGGTTAAAAAAAGGTTCCTTCTGTTGTTTCAGATGCAGAGACAGTCAAAGGAGTGTATGATAAGTTGGTGAACTGTGTGACAGAGAAAAGAACCGCCCCTCCAAATGCTTGGTTGTGGTCACTCATTACTAAATGTTCCACGCAGGAAGACATTGAACTCTTATTCGATATTTTGAAGAAACTTCGTAAATTTGTTAGTGGTTATCTGCTTCAAATCTCTAATTTGTTTGACTTATACTTTCATGTTTTATGTATGTTTGTTTTTGTTGTGTGCTGCAGAGGCTGTCCAATCTTCGAATACCCGATGACTTTAATAGTGCACTTTGCAGGGAAATTACAAAGGCCTGTGTTCGTGCAGGAGCCATTGATTTTGGTGAGTTATATGACCCTCTAATCTACTGTCACTGGTTTCAAGACTATATATTTTAATTAAGGAGAAAATTCTTACTTATTCTTAGCAAAACTCTATTTTACTTTTTTGTTGGTGTTGGTACATTTCACCAAGCTGTTGTTCACCACAATAATATATTCTTACATAATGGTTGTTTGTTCACACTCCCATTGGTGCAAAGCCCACATAAACTTAGTTGCATGCCTTCATAATTGTACTAGAGATTTGGTTAGGGATTGAGGAAAATTCTAGGGGGAAGTGTTATTGGTGTAAGTTTTTGGGAAATGTGTATTAGTAGGAACTGCTTTGGGCTTATGGCCCGAATAAATATGTTTGGTTGGTGATTGGGGAAACCTTTTTAGTTAAACGGTTTCCTAGGGCTCATGGCCTCTTCTATGTACCTGCTGCTAATACATGGGTCTTGCCATGGCTGTTGGATATAGAACTAAAGATCTTTCTTAATTTTTCTTTTGTTTTTTTTTTTTNCTTATCACCAGTTTAAAGCCTTTGAATTCACTTCCAAACAGGTATGAAGACTTTGTGGAAACATAATTTATTTGGACTAACTCCTGACATTGGATCGGCTCATATTCTGCTGGTATGGAAGTCTTCTACAGGTTTTGTTATACCCATTTGTGGTTTGCTCATATCAATATAAACGAAAAAATATTTGTTTCATGCCTGCAGTTACACGCCAAGCAACATAATGATGTGAAACTCATGACCAAAATAATGAAGCATGTTAAAATCAATGATTTACCTCCACAACCTGGCACGGCAGATATAGTTTTCAGGTATACATCCATCGGAATACTGTTCATTTTTTTTATACATTGACTTTTCTCAGTGACGGTCCGCATATACTCTTTTGCTACCTGGTGATATTTTTTTTTTGTTTTCCCCTATCTTTAATCAGCTGTCTTGTTTAGAAATGAATTTCAGCCACCACTGTTACGACCTATGTATGACCCCTCATATCTCGTGGCTGAAAAATAAGTTCTCTTCTAGTTTTCATGCCACAGAGAATCGTAAGATTTTTAATGTGGCATCAGTGGTTGACTGTCTAATATGTTTGTTTGTCATAGTTCCTTCATCTCCACAATTTGACTTCACCTTACCACTTGAATCTTGAAATATTCTTTGGATTATGCTTTTGCAGCATTTGTTATAATGCGGACAAATGGGATTTGATGTGTAAGAATGGAAAAAGGTTTGTCTTGTCTGGAGTAAAACTGAGGCAGTCTTCCTTTGAGTTATGGATGGAATTTGCTGCCAAAAAGGGTACACCTTCTGTTTGTTTTCTTTTATCTTGTGATTGGCTAAGTCATGGGTCTTTGTTTTGACTTTGAAATTATTTTCTTGATACATTTGCGTCATGCTTTAATCTGGGAGCTTGCATAGGCTTAAAAAAAAACGAGGGGCTCATACTAATGCATTAACATTCCCCACTGTAGGAGACGTTGATTCCCTTTGGAAGATTGAGAAATGGAGATCTAAGGCGATGAAACAGCATAGTCTTTCAACTGGGTTTTCTTGTGCAAAGGTAATTCATATGTTTACATCCATCAGTTGCCCAGATTAGATTTAACCATGCACGGGATTACTTCTTAATGGCCTGGGCACTACCTCTAGTATTCTTCTGTTCATATGGGGGAAGAAGAAGTTTCGTATTCTGATTGAATGACTGATTTTTGCTAGAATTCCAGTGGTGCATTGATAATTTGATCTGAATTCAGGTATTTTGAGTCTTTGACCATGGATTAAACACTATCTTGATATTTCCAGGGTCTCCTTCTTGAACATAAGCCTGATGATGCTTCTGCCATTATCCAAGTGCTATATCAGGTGAATTTATGTCTTGTTTCAATCTTGCAGCATAAAATTAGTTATACTCTATGGATGACACTTTTTTATTGTTCAAACCAGAAACTTTTGTTTGAACCTTGTGTCCTGACCTTAGTCTAATGGATGTTAACATAGAAATGTTTATGAGTTAAGTTAGGAAATGTAGTTTTCTTTTAATAGATGGTATGTCTGTGGTGGATATGAAATAGCATTATCCCAGGACTCTACCACGAAAATAAGCTCGACATACTTGAACATTGGATGAAAAATTCTGAATGTCATCTAAATTTATGTGTGATATAGATACAATAACAAAGTGAGAAAATCCATCGAGTTTCTTTGTTCTTGCTTTCTCCATTGCATTTGTCTTTTTAATCAGGAGCTGTATTTAGCAAAACCAATTTTATGTCCAGACTTCACCCGATGCAAGAAAATCAAGTGTTGTGGTTGAGCTTCAAAAGCTAGTGAGCGAGTGGCCATTGGACGTTATAAAGCATCAGAAAGAGAACAAACAGGTATTTCTCCCACAGTCCCATGTTTATATTGTGTAAAAACTAATTATAATAATACTAATAATAATAACAACAAATAAAGAAAAGGAAACAGTTCAACTGTTTCTAGA